CAAGCGCCTTCGAAACTGGAATGCCCTGGGTGGACCTGGGAAAGCACACCAGGCCCAGAAGCCCCAGATGGCTCCCTCTTCCAGAGGAGTACCAGGAGTGTGTGCGTGTGGGTGTGGGTGTGGGTGTGCGCGCATGCGTGGCAGAGAGGACCAGTGTGTGTGCGTGGGCTGAGCCTTCAGCCAGGGTGTCAGGTTCCTTGTGCCCAGGCCTCTCCGGCCCATGAGGCTGGAAAGAGGGGCTCCTTGCTGTGGGAGTGGCAGCGGGGAGACCGTTCACATCCAGGAAGCTCAGGCTCCTGTCAGCGGAGGAGGCAGGAGCTCCTTGCTCACCTGGAAACTCAGCTGTGTGAGGGGGCTTACGACCAGCTGTGGAGTAGAGGGTGGGCTGGGGAGAGGCCATGTCGGAGATTCGCAAGGGTGAAGCATCCTTCCTGGGAGGGGTTGGCTTTGCTGGCTTGTCCCCAAAGACCTTGCTTGGGTTCATGGGGGAACCCTCTGGGGTGATGGGGCAGGTGATGGTCTTTGGAGCCAAACAGGCCCGAGTGGAACCAGTTTCACAGTCCCCCAGCTCCTGCGATTTCTGGGGTGCAGGGCAGCTCCTCGCCCTGTAGACTGGGGTGATAATCTGGGGAAACAGTCCTGGAGAGGCCTCGGGGAGCCAGGCGTGTGGCCTGGCCTCTTGGGGGAGGGGGAGCTGCCCCAAGCCCTCCTTGGCATCACTGAAGCTTCGTATCACAGGCATGACACCCCCAGGTCAAAATGATGTAAAGATACAGTTACATCCAAAGCTGATGGACGCCGTTGAGCTTGATGGTGATGTCATGGTGTACCACAGAATGAGCCTTTGTCCCCATCCTGCGCCATCCTCGCAATCACAGGCGTGGTCCAGTCCACCGTGGCGCCTGCCACACCAGGCGCCGGTCTCATCGTGGCTCATGAACAGGGAGTGTCCATCCCCGGTTCCCCAGTAACTCTAGCCTCAGGCGAAATTGGACTCAGGTCCTTAAATAATTTTGTCAGGACTCTGCCCCTGTGTGGGCTGCTGCATCGGGCAAGCCCCGCCCTTCCCTACCTCCCCAACAGTGCGACCCCCTGCCTCTGGTCTCACGCCTGCCACCTCACCGCAACCTCACTGAAGGAGCATTGTTGTCCCAGTAGCAAGATTCCCAAGGCTGCTTCTCATTGGCCAGCTTGGACCACCTGCTCTCCCTCGAGCCAATCACCGGGCAGGGGTTGGGTTGCTCCGCGTGAACAAGGGGGCGGGTCCTATGAGGAGCTGGACACACGTGGCCTTTCAAGGCTGTGAGGATGCTGATTGAGATGGGCAAGTGCCAGGCAGACGCTGCACATACACGGCCACTCAACTCTTCCAGCTGGCATTCGTGGCCAGAGGCTCGGGACACACTGCCCTTCCTAACAGGTTACCTGCAACCTGGTGACCCACTTCCCACAGTGCCCTGCAAATGCCCCCAGGGGCGTGGCCCACAGGCTCCGGAACTCGGAAGGGAGCTGTTTGTGTACAAAGGCTGGCTCGTCCTGAGACCTGTGCGTCCCTAGCGACCGGTCACCGTTTTGTAGTAGCCTTCAGAGGGGATGCCCTCCGTGTGCCCATCAGCATTAGGCTGGTGTCACAGCGGTTTATTCAGACAGTGGAATATTATACAGCATTAAAGACGAGCCAACTGTTATACACAAAACGACTTAATCGAATCTCACGGGGAATAAGACCGCATTAAAGAGGCTGGGCACAAACGTAGACTTCCTCGATGATTCCATTTAGATGCTGTCCAGACGGTGGGTCAAAATAAAGTGTCGCGTTTGAGAAGCACTTGGCTTTATGTCGGGGGTGGGCAGGGCCCAGCAGCTATGTGGTCATCCTCGGAGGGAGCATCCTTGCCTGGCAGCTCTGAGCACCGTTGCCTTCAGGAATGCTAGCTCCCTGCCGTTCCCAGGGGAGAGCCCACGTGTTGCATTCGATCCCTCTGTCGTACCATAAGTTGATGGCTGGGTGATTGCAACCTCATGGTGTGTACCCGCGTGAACCCTCGCCATCCTGGGCCCTCCTCGCCGGGCTGGCAGCTTGCAGTCCATTGCTCTAGTGCCGGTTACCTCACCTAGAGCCTCCCTCACCCTGGCCAGCCCTCTACTCCCGCATGGGAGGCCCTCCCCCACAGACTGATCCTGATCCGGTGCCCAAAGCAAAGGAGCCAGACAAGGTTCTCCTGGGATCAATCTGTCCTGTGCACCCAGTAGCTTATATTTCGGAATTCACTCAGCAGGCTTTTCTTCCTCACCTCTCTTATTTGGAAGCTTTACCGAAATCTGTCCTCCACAGATGACCCTGCCGGTATCATGGCATCTCAGAGTGGGGCTGAAGTGGGTAGGGGTCTCTCATGACCACTCCTGCATAATTCTAAGGATTCCCTCCCCGTTGGGGAAGTGTCTGCTCTTTCGGCAGGAGGCAGAAGCCCCATTCCCTGGGGGGGGCCGCCTTCAGAAAGAAGATGGGCAGGGATGGGGCACAGCAGAGCCTGGTCCCAGCAGCCCCTGGGTTCCCTCATACCCCTTCCCCTGGCTAGGCCTGAGGGTTGGGAGCCAAAGGGACATGTCTTCTCAGGGTCACAAAATGCTACTAGCCCCCAAGGCCATGTGTCAGAAGGACAGGGCTGCTCCCTGAACCATGGTTACTCCCAGAACGCTGAGTTTCCTAGATGGCCCCTGGGGGTTGTGGCTCAAAGTGTGGCTGGGCCGCAGTGCCACCCGCCTGACTGCGAGGTGCATCCTGTGACTTTTTCTAAACAACTGCTTCATTTCCCAGTTTGTGTGTCGACCGCCAGACACACCTCTCACCCCCACCCCCCTGGCCCATGTGAGCTGGGTCCCCAGCCGGCTGACTGAGGGCCGCTGGGCGGGATGTTCTGTTTGCCCTTCTTTGAGGGTGACTCGTGGCCACAGTGAGCAGCCTGCCCTCGTTTTTTTCAGGGCTGGGGGTGGGGGTGACATCTCCAGAGACTGGAGCATGCTCTGCCTGCTAAAGATCTTCCTCTCGGCAAGAGGGACCAATGCAGCGTGCTGGAAAGTTCCAGGCCTTAGGAGCTCAGATGTTGAGAGTCTGACCGCTCTCACCCCTGCCCCCACTCCTCACCTTGCTTGGACTCCAGGGTCCCCTCCCGTCTCTTGCTTTTCATGAAGTACACATGTTCTCTCTCCCCCCCCACACACACACTCTCTCTCTCTCTCTCTCACACACACACACACACACATCCTGCCCCCACTTTCAGGAATCCATCATCTGAGCTTGGTTTACACGCTCACCTGGCCCCCCTCTAAGAGCCCTGGGGCATAATGGTTACTAATTGGCTGTGATCTGCAAGGTCTGAAGTTCGAAACCCCCAACCACTTCTAGGGAGGAAGACGGGCTTTCTACTCCCATCAAGATGACAGTCCCTGTCCTGTAGGGGCTCTGAGTCAACATCGACTTGATGGCAGTGGGTTTGGTTTGGTTTGGGCCCCTCTCCACTGACTGCTTCTGGTCCCCCAAGCCCATCACAGCCCACTTTGCTCAAGCGGTTCACTCAGCCTGCAACCTCGTCCCTCCTGGTGCCCCTCTGCCCCTGCCCGGGGCTACTTCTTGGCAGGACTACTCATGTCTCTGGGAAAGCCTCCCTGCTTGCCTCTGCCCCTCCGACCCCCAGGACAGACACGTGCCGCTCCGGGTGATCCCCTCTGGGTCTCCCTGCCACTTGCTCAGGTCACGTGGTGATGTTGTCCCATCCACGGCTGCTGTGTTTCCCAGACTCAGGGTGGGAACCATGGTGCCTGGGCCTGCCCTGCCCTCAGCCATGTCCTGGGTCAGGGGCCTCATGGAGTGGATGGAGACCTGGAGGATGGGTGACTTGGGGTCAGTCACCAGGTCTTGGTTTCCCCGCTGGGAGCAGGCAGGGGTGGGATAGAGGAAGTGGCGAGTGACGAGTGGGGCAGCTGGCCTGGCACCCAGGGCTGCTGGAGATGGCCCCAAGCTGGCCGCCTCCTGAGCAGCACAGGAGCCAAAGGGGGCCTGAGACGGGGCATTAGGGAGCTGCAGAGGGAGTGGGAAATGGGAACCAAGGCAGGAGCTGGGATAAAGGACTCCTCCCCCTGAACCCCCACGTGCCCACCCACCTCCTGGTTTGGTCCCCTTAAGAGGCTACAACCCCAGCCATACCCCCTCAGCACTGCAGTCCCCGCCTTCCTCACTGGAGTCTGTGGGTCAGCCTTGGCTTTGCATGGGAATCACCAGGGGGCTTTGAAATACCCGGATGTCCAGGCCACAGCCCAGTGCATGCTGTTATTAGTGGGCCTCGGTCACCCTGGGCCTTCCTGGAGCCGCACAGGTAACATGCACGGCTTAGGGAGGACTTCTCTAGCAGAAAGACATCACCCCACCCCTTCTAACCCCCACCCCAGAGCCAACCCAGAAGCAAGCAAGCGTCACAAAGTGGCCTCCTGAAGGCGCACAAGGGCAGATGGCAAGGGCGCAAGGCCACCCACATGGGTGGAGAGACCAGGTGCTTGCCGGAGCCTTGATGCTTGTGGCCTGTGCACCCGCTGGTCCCTCTTCCTGAGCCAACATGCCCAGCCCTAACCACCCCCTGACACACACACCCTGCCCCCTGCAGAGACAGCCGACAGACCCCTGGCCTCACAGGCCATACTGCCACCTGCTCTCGGAAGTCTTCGTTCACACACAGCATCCCCCCCAGAATGCATCCTGGAGGGGGAACTTAGGGGCCAGAGAACAACACGAGTTGCTATGACAGCAATTCCAACTCCTGGGGGGTCCCACGCACGTGAGGGCAGATCGGACCCTCGGGGCCGCCTGGAGGGGCGGACAGGCCTTTCTTGCAGGGCTCCTGGGTGGACTGGGATCACCAACTTCCCGTTGGTATCCAAGCACTCGGCCATTTGGACCACCCTGGGACCCCCACATTGCTGATAGCGCCCCTTTTTTGTCATTTCAGAAGCTGCCCCCACCATACGAGCTGCCGGTGCTGTACAGGACAGAGGACTATTTTCCTGTGGACAAAAGAGGGGCACGGTGTCACGCCCCATAGTGGCCTGGGAGCTGCAGCTTCTCCCCGCAGATACATCCGAGGGTGGACCTGCACATGCGGGGCAGCTTGCTCAGGCTTTCCTCCTTGTTGGGACATTGGTGCCCCCCACCTGAACCTGCAGTCATCTCAATAAAGCGGTCAGAGGTCACGCGTGGGCCCGGTGCAGAACGGCGTCATAGCCTCCTTGTGAGGGGCCGGTTCTGGCTCTCCGACTGTGAGCGGCAGAAGCTCCAGCCCAGGGGGAGCAGCCTCCCGGCCTCCTGACTTCCGGGAAGAAGGCAGGCAACAGTCATCAGATCCCCCTCACCTGCCCCTCTTCTGGTTCAAAGACCACACGTCCCACACCCGGTTTTCCCAGCTTCCCTCCTCTCGAAGGACACACGAGTAGGTACACACACACACACACCCATCCCCCCACCCCCATCCCCAATCTGCAGAATAGCCGGGAAATCGCAAACAATGAGTTGGGCAAGATAGCAGTAAAAAGAGCAAAGAGAAAGATGGGTCTCGCCAGTTTTAGGGCAAATGGGCATGAAAGACGCAGCCACCTCTGTAGATCGCAGGGCACAGTGGGAGCATCTCCATGCTGAGTTGGGAGGCTAAGATGATTTCGGTGAATTCGTATGGAGGTCTCACATACATACAAAAAGATGCACCCAGAAGTGTGGCCTCCTGGATTCCCACCCGTGGAGCGCATCTGTTTAACCCTCACCCAGACCAAGAGATCAGCCCCTTCCTCTCCCAGAACCAGTCTCCCCCTGCCCTGCCCCACCCCACCCCAGCTAACACCATCTGCATGTCGGTACTTCGTATGGGTGGAAGTATGAATAGGTATATGAATGGGGTGTGAGTGGAGTATACATGGAAATACATGGAGTATACTGGATGGGTGGAAGTAGGGATGGGAGTATGAATAGAGCATGGGTGGAGTGTGAATGGCTATGGGTGGAGGATGAACAGAGCGTGGCTGGAGTGTACATGAAGTATGGAGAACACTGGATGGAGTGCGGATAGCATGTGCACTTGCAGTGTGCACCGTTGGTGTCTGCCCTCACTGCCTTGACCCTCTGCCTGGGGGCTGGACCCCTGGTACGGCAATGCTGCCCATCAGTAATTCTCATGGCGGTGCCGTGTTGATTGGGACTGTTTAATGAGAAGCTTAGATGCTCATTATGTCTCAGTCTGCTGACAAGAGTCTCGTTTCAACAGAAAGTTTTTCTGACAAGCATCGAGGGCCCCACTTTGTTACAGGCCAAGTGTGCATTGGTAGTCAGAGCCCGCTGGCTTCTTTCTCCTCTGTGTCCTGAACCAGGGGCCAGGCCTCAACATCGCTTTCCTCCACTGGAGTCCCACAGGACTATGGCAGATGGATTAGAGGCTCTGAGCTGCCTGCCTGAGTGACAATGCCACTTCCTGCCCATCTGAGCTGTGTGACTCTCGGCTAGTTGCTTACCCTGTCTGAACGCAGCCACCTCTGTAGATCGCAGGGCACAGTGGGAGCGTCTCCATGCTGAGTTGGGAGGCTGGCGTGAGACGCCCCTTGGCGTACTTGGCTCCAGGCCTTAGGATTGGGCAGCTGCAGCTGCAATGAGGACTGCTTGCTGGGGAAAACTCTGCTGCATTGCCCCACTCACTCGTGGTACCCAAGGGTCTCAACAGGAAGTGTCTTAAGGTAAGTCCTGAAACTGCAGAGTGGGTAACAAAGCCACAGAAGGTAAGGCGAGGAAGGGCTGCTAAAAGTCAAACCAGCTCCCCTGCTTCAGCTGGCCTCGGATTCTTTTCTTGAATGCAAAGTTGGTGTAGCCCAAGCAAAGCAGCTGATGGAAGATACCACGTTCATGGGCTGGGGGACAAGATCCACCTGGACATCTCCATAGATGCGGAAAATGCCTTTGACAAAATCCCACACCCCCAGTCCTGATTTAAAGACACCTTTTTGGATTGAGAAGGGGTGTTTCTCAGGGGTGCTAGAGGCTAAGCCACCTACATACCTACATCCAGCGATTACAGAGACCCTGGGATGAGGCATTGGCATGAAGGAATTCC